CAGGAAGCAATTTTTCTCCAGGCCAGTTTGGCCCCCAGTGATCCTGGAGGTTTTTTTAAATCATATTCTGGGCGTGGAACAGGGGTCACTGGGGTGTGTGGGGGGTATTGGTGAATTTCCTGCATTGTGCAGGGGGTTGGACTAGATGACCCTGGAGGTCCCTTCCCACTCTATGAGTCTATGATTCTATAATTCACCCAGGCTGGCTGTGGGCATGCCAGCACCTCTGTCAAGCAGAAGCGCCTGAGATCCTCCCCTTTGCCCGACTTGGAGGCGAAGGGAAGGGAAGGGAGGGGGGGAAGAATGGATCCCAGGTTCTTCTGCCTGTCGCAGGGACTGGTGCACACTTCCGGTGATGTCAGGGGGTGTGGCATATGCTAATAAGTTATGCTAATGAGCTCCTGCAGCTCTTTTTCTACGAAATGACCCCTGGTTCTACTTAATGTTCATCTGTCCATTTAATTTCTAAAGTCTCTGTGGTGTTGGAGCCGATGAATACTTTTGCTGATTTAAATGCTCTGAACCAGTAAAGTCCATACCAGAGCCTTTTTGTTTTAAGGAATTTTGACTTGTGGTGAGGGTGTGGGATGTGTTAAAGGTCCCATTCAGTAGATTGCATAGGCACAACCCTACGCATACATATAAAACTGCCTTATCCTGAATCAGACCATTGGTCCCTCAAGGCCAGTATTGTCTTCTCTGACTGGCAGCAGCTCTCCAGAGTATAAAGCTGAGATCTCTCCGATCACCTGCTACAGGATACTTTTAGCTGGAAATGTCGGGGATTGAACCTGGGATCTTCTGCATGCCAAGCAGATGCTCCACCTCTGAGCCACAGTCCCTAAAACTAGCCGTGTGTGTGCTGGCTTCCTACCTGCATCTCTGAGTGCCAGCATGCTGCCATGAAAGAAACAGGAAGCAGGAAGTAGCATTAGCAGCTGATACTATACAAGAATAAAAATAGTAAAAATAATATAATACTGTTTGGAGTTAAAACAATATTGATTCCTTATAGGAGTCTCATACAGTAGGACTGGGAGACACCGCACCCCTTATTTATTGTTAAAGGCACTGTCCCGCATGCTTATTAAAAATCCTGTGTACTAAGATGCTCCAGAACACTGCTGATCTAAAGAAGTGTGGATACTGGTGAGGTTGGACTATCCCCACAACAAGAGGAGGGCTGCCTTATTTCAAGATCTGGAGTTAGCTCACTCCACAAGAATTAGGCAGCAAGACCACTTGATAGTACCTCCTAGGTGGACGTTGACCTTGCAAGACCTTGTTTTCAAAAGGTGTGGTCAAATTCTTATATGTTTATGACAAGGTTCTCTCCCCACACACACATGTTATTAGCTGACAGCTTTATGAACAAGAATGGGAAGGTAGATGGCACATGAACAGTTCCAAGGGGATGGGTTCAAATCAATGTTTGTTGTATGCCTGCTTGGAAAGTGGACATAAATGCTGCCTGTGGACCTAACAGCAAATGCTGTGAAAATCTCCTATATAAGCTTTCATGAGTAAATGAGACATCTTCCTTTTCAGCATAATTTATAAGAATCTTTGGCAGCTGAGTTACATTCAGAGCATTCTCTATACTGTGTTGGGGAAATCAGCTGGTTTTTTTCATTGGTCATACCTGGCCTTTTCCCTCATTTACAGATAGAAGACAGACTGTTCACAGATCAGATGTTGATCACTTCCTAAACTGACAGGAAGACCTCACTCCGAGTCCCCACTAGTGTGCAGTAAGGAATGGGGCTGTGTTCCGGAAACTAGTAGAAACAGACCAGTAGCATTACTGCAGAGTGACCACTTGGTGGCAGCTTCTGCCTGTTAAATGTAGGTGACATTCATAGCCCTGGCAGTGAAATGTGTTGAATAAGTGCATGTGTATATGCTCTGGACATAAAGTCTATATGGAGGAGCCTGGATCACTTGTAGAGCCTCTTGTGAAAAAGGGCCCTGATCTGCACCTACACTCCAATTTCTACATGAAGTGGGAGAGAAAAAGTCTCTTGAGTCAAATCTACTGTAGCACTAGAAGATGCATGTGCATAACCACCTCTGGTGTGTTGCTGAACAGCTGCCACTCGGATGTAGTGCCATGGCACAGGAGTTGAGCCCTTTTCCTAGTGCCTTTACTAACTTGTCTGCCCCTCAGGGAATAAGCATACAGGCTGTCTGTGTTGTGCCCTCATAGCACTGGGGAGCTGCTGTGAATCTAAGAAAGCAAACTAGGCTTTTAAGCCACAAGAAGTAGGAATCAGTAATGGCATGAAGTTGGCAAGGAGAACAAGCAGCACTGCAATTGGAATAAACCTTCTGAAGTCAGGCAGAGATAGCAGAAGTGGGAGGGGATCTGCTTGTTCATTGTGGAGATGTTTCATTCTTCCCAGCTCACCAGGTTCAGACTATAAACCCTTCCATCCAGCTCCAAGACTATAGACATAAAAGCTAAAAGAACCCTTTTCAAAATATGAAGAGCAAGATGTTCAAAAATATTTTTGGTATGGGGATAGTATGCTCAGTCAGTTAAATAGTAGAGTCAGAACCATTAAAAGTTTGAATGACAAGAATGACAGTTGCCTCTATCTCCTTTCAGACAATGGCAGGGGAGAAAAAAACCTTCTGTTTGTCAAGAAATCTTCTTGGATGTACATACTACCTTATATGCTTCCAAGGTGTGTCTTTTTAACAGCCCGACTGAAAAATCAATACCCAGGCTTATGGCAGCTGAGTAAAGACAAGATACTGCATATAAATTTTGACTCAAATTCTAAGCATCAATAAAGTACACATGTATACCTGGCATTATTCACCTACACACATTAATCTTTACAATCACCTCAGAAGGGAGCCCAGTATTGTGCTTATTTTACAGTTGATAAGAATGAATTAGGCTTGCCAAGGCGAAATATTTAAACTGCAGACTTCCCAATGTCCAGAGGAGGCAAGGAGCTCGCTGGACCCACCAGAGAGCTGCTGCTCTAGGGCAGGAGGAAGGCTGCTACCTGTTCAGGCAGCCATCCCAGAGGCCTGACTCTTTAAAAAAACTGTCATCACAATAGTAGGTCTCATGACCCAGGCCAGCAGAGGGAATGCATGACATGTCAGGCTGCTTTTAAAGGAGATGGGAGGTGACTGATGTGGGTGCAGCGCCAGACTACCCTTCAGCATGGGAGCTGTCATGGGTGGAGAGGAAACCTCCTTCCAATTTTGAGGCCTTCGAGGGTTTCTTACAGCTTGGCACAAGACTCAATCAAGGCTGCAGTCAGACCGTGAATGAGTCAGGTATTAAGCCTGAAGAGCTCTCATCAAGCAGGCATGTGTCTCTCCAAATTCTCAGCCAGAGGATATTTTCCAACATTTGTTACCTTTACTTGGAGATGCTGGGGGGGGGAGAGGTTGGAAAGTGAGTCCCCATGGGTTATGTTCTGGTCCCTGTAGGCTAAACAAGATATTACAGTCTATACACCACAACTAGTACTGGACTGTATTTCTAATCTCATAGGTAGACCACTGTGACAAATAATGAGGAATATTTATGTACCTGGCTCACCCTGAAAGGGCTATTCTTAAAAGAGCTGTCCAGTACCACAGAAGGCATCTGTTAAATATAGAAAAGTTCTCCTACTTGGAAACTTACATTTCCAATGCATGATTCTAATGCAATCATGAAAGCCTTTTCAAAATCATAGAACCAGTTTCACATCAGTTAACACAGGCAGGCTGATTTGTACCAGTACATCCTTCAATTTGCAACGTAATTCCATTTTAGTACATATTTGAGAAAACTCAGATGCCTATTTTCTGTTCTGTGTCCAAGAAACCCCTTTTCTATAAGCTGCTGAAAGACTGGCCCTGAAAGACATAGTGCAGGAAGCAATTCCGCTTCTACAGTGACCAGCACCCCCTTAGTAAGATGCAGAACTGCACTCACATATGAACCTACCATATATAGTCAGGCCTATCAAGCTCCGTTATGCTTCTTTTGGCAGCAGCTCTCTGGGCACCCAGGCAGAGCAAGAGATCTCTCCCACCAATTTCTAATGAAGACCCTTTAACTGGAGATCCCAGGGATTGAATACATGAACCTGCCTTATACTGAATCAGACCACTGGTCTATCAAGGTCAGTATTGTCTACTCTGCTTAGCAGTGTCTCCCCACCTGATCATTTTAACTAGAGATGCTGGGAAATGAACCTAGGAGCCACTACAAGCAAAGCAGATGCGCTGCCACTGGGCCATGACCCCCCCCCCCTGCATGCAACACTTCTTAGGACTGGACACTTAAGAAGGAGTTCTAGATCTTTAAAAAAGACCTTTATTATACCTTACAAAAGGAGGCATCACAACTCAAGCACATATATAACTTGTTCAACATTGCTGTCTGATGCTATCTGATGTATACTCCGAGGAGTGCCACTGGAACGCCACACGGTCAGCTTCAGTCAAATGTAATCCGAAAACTGCGTTCTTGTTCTTTGCGTCGGCTCTCACAAACCTTGGTCACTTCCTCAACCTTCCTCTGCAGCAGGGCTGAATGCAGAACACAAGGACTAGAATCAATGCAAGGCTTGCATATAGTATATATAGTATATACTGAAGTACTACCCTAGGAAAGGGAAAGCTTGAAGAAAAATATCCTCACAGGAAGCGAAACAAAATACACTTGTTCTTGCAACCTAATGGATGGCCAAAGTAGATGTGATCATTTTTAATGAAAGATCCAAGCTCTCCGGACCTGACTTGCTTACCCCTGCAGCTACACAGCAGGTGCATGGGACTCATTTTTAAAAGACTGCAGGAACCCCAATTCTCAGCTCAGGTCCGTGGCATCAGGGGGAGGATGGGCTTCTGTTCCCACCCCCACAGCATTTTCCTGGTGGTGCCCATTGGTCCATTTTGGCACTGCACATGTGGTATTCAGTACAGAGGCCAAATAATGGCTTTAGAAAACCGCATAGGGAAATGCAGAACCTCCCCCACTCCTGGGCTGAACTGAGCCACTGCAGGCCTTTAAAAAGGACTTCCTTGCAGCGCCTGTGTTGCTGTGGGGAAAGCAAGTTGAATTATTTAAGGAATCATGACTGGTTTGGCCCTTACCCTTAGGATCTAGTTTGATGTCACATCAGGGAACTGAAATATACAACACTTGCGAGCAGACAGCCTAGGTGAAGGCTCAAAAGAACAGCCCCCTTCGTGGCCAGCTACACATAAAACTGGCTGAATAAAGGCTGCACTGAACACTCAAAGTCCATCAGGAAGCCTGACAAATTGCTAACAATGAAGAGTTAATTCAGTGTCTGCTGGCACAAGTATCTGATAGACAGCCACATGTCACAGCTCCCAAGCACCCAATGTACTGTAACAGTTTTTGCTTTATGAGCTCATATCTAAGTTGCATCTTCACATCTGTGATGTCTGAGAACTGGCAAGAATAAGCCCGCAATAAATTGCTAGTCGCATCCTAATTCCTGCTCTGCCCTGAAATGATTTTCAAAGATTTGTTCTCTCCCATTCTAGCCTGCTTCACAAGGTTATGCTTAAAAACAATAAATTTTATATAGAGTTTTCTAGAAGCTATAAACAGTGAAATATACCTGAATTCTGATCAATCCATTGGAGAGAGTCCATGTGTGCATTGAGGATTTTACAGATCTGCTGAAGCTATGAAGGTGGGGAGAGAGAGAGATTAGAGGCATCACACCTAGACAGGTTCTTTTGACATCCTGCATAACCCAAGCCAACAACAGCCCATTTAGCAGTTTCTTCCCAAAGTACTGCTGGTCTGAATGCTCTAGACAGGTTCAATCTATGAAAAATACTTTAAAAAATGAAAATTTACAAAGCTATAGAGGGCTAAAAGGAAGCCTTTGCCTACTTGTGGATAGATTCAGACTCTTAACTTACACAGAACCTTGGGAAACCAGATAATAGGAGTAGCCCTTGTAGTGACTGCAGATCCTTCCCTAATTTTAGGAGAAAGCTGGGAAAGGCTCAGCAAATGTTGCATTTGACTGCATTGTTCAGCAGGCAGCACAGGGATTACAAGGCAAGCAACTGGATGAAGGAAACGTGGTATGGAATAAAAAACCCTTTGCAGGGCCCATGATGCTTAGGGCAAATGGAACAGGAATGGGTACGATAATGTGAGAACCCCCAAGCCTGGACTGTGAGGCCAGCAGAGTTCAGAAAAGACACCATAATTTTGACATACAAAAAGTAGTTTTGCCAAAAGCTCAGACAACTGGAGTTCCACACAGTTAATGGTGTCAGGATTTAGGCAGGAGATGGGGAGTACTGCAAGCTCTTGGCATACATCTGAATCCAAATCAGCCCTTTCTCAAGCCATGCTATTGTCAGCCCAAAGGAAGCAGTGAAGCTGCATAGAGGGGTGGGGGTCTCCCACATGAATCAACTACAATAGAAATAGCTTCACAGCTTGTGTCTGTGCACGCAAACACCAAACTCCTGCCTATCAAACTAGCATTATTTGCACCATAACCCATTCCACCCACAAGACCTGGAATTTCTCATTCAATACCTCCCTCCATTCAAATTACAAATAGATTCCTGAGAGTACGGCTTACTGTACAGACCCAGGCAGGATTCTGAGCAGACCTGCTTAAGGTGCCACGAGGAGTCATCTCCAGTAGCCTCACATGCAGAATTTAGCACTGTTTGTACTTACTGGGTCACTGGTGTCAGCAGGGCCCCCAGAAGTATTCAAGTGCTCAATGATGTCCTTCAGATCTTGTGCCATGCGCTTCAGCTGGGCATCAATATTCTCAGCCAGTTTATAACTACAGAATAGGAGAGAGGTGTACAATTAATTGTAAAATACCTGCTAATTCTAGGTCCTAACATTAGAAGAGACAACTGTAGAGACTGAAATGATCAAGAGTTATTTTAACTGGTGACCATGTAAACATCTTCAAAGCCCCTCAAGTAGAACTGGTGCGTATGTGGGAGTGCTGATAACATTGCAAAAAGGCCCTTTCTGGATTTTAAGGTATAACATTCATGTGTACAACCTGTACTAGCTTCAGTTACAGACATGAGAAGGGGCTGAAAATACCCTTAAAATCTTTGCATGGATACTAAGCAGCTCTGATACCAAGAGTTAAACAAAAGGACTTCTAAAGTCACTACTAAGGCACCACTATACAAATTCAGGCTCCTATCAATATCCAAAAAACCCTGTATGAACATACAAAGTTTCACTGTATAGTCCGATCACTGGTTTATTTAGCTTGAGATTGTCCATTGCAACTGGCAGCAGCTCTCAAGTAAAGAAGGGTCTTTCACAACACTTACTGAAGGTGCTGGGAATTGAATTCAAGTAACGTCTGGGTAGATATACACCCACTGAGCACAGCCTCCTCCCAGAATGATTTGAAGGAAAAGCCATTGTTAACTGAAATTCCAGAAGAGCACAAAATGTGCTCTCAGGGTAATTGCCAGGATGCATTTCCCAACCTGAGTCTTATTGTGTGGCCATTTTTATTTTGAGAATTCAGTCTATCACTCCCCTTCACCCATCTGAATCACGCATTAGCTTACGTCTTCTCCCGCTCCTCATCCGCATGCTGCAGGTAAATGGTCCCACTCTGTTCTTTCACAGATTCTTCAAGGGGGATTAATAAATCTTCCAGCTCTTTTTGCTGGGACAAAATAAAGTCTAGTTCTTGGTCCAACCTGTAGAAGAAGAAGAAAAGCTACTTTGCCTGGAAAGCTTGGGAAAACACTGACATACAGAAGGCTGCCTAGGGCTGCTTGGCAATCCGCCTCAGGCAAAAGCCCAGAAAGTATTTAATACTGTCACCCATCCCACAGGGGGAGGAGGAGAGGGAGGGGGAGAGAGGACCTATGAAAGGAACACACACACACTTGCATTGTGATCCGGTTGCACCTGAAGGGAACTCCAGTGCAGAAACGGACATGTCTCTAGTTGGAGTTGGAATCAAACATAACATGCTTGGCTCATTAAAATTTCTATTTATTTTCTTCTCTCTCACACACAATAACATGCCTGGCTAACTGAAATTTCTATTATTGTCTTCTCATCTCACACACACAGATGTATTGAGCACAAGCTCCCAAGCGCTGTATACATCAAAAACAGCACTTGAATGGGGCCACAAGGAATTTGTCTCCATCTGAACACTGAGAGCACCTAACTCTTGCTCCCCTAAGCGATTTCACTGAGAGAGGCTGGCTTTGACAAAGCAGTGAGACAGCAACTGCGCCAACTGGGCAAGACTGGCCTTCTCGTTACATCACTGTCAGGACAGCTGCAGCATCTGAGGAATATATTTTCAACCAGAGAGCTCTGGAATCACATCCTATCAGTTCCATAACTCCTGTTAATTATAGGGAACTGTACTTTTTGAATGTAACAGGAAGACCATTCTAGAAGAGCCAGTCTAGTGAAAACAGCTTTCTTATGGATAGCCCTACTCCTACACACATTGCTTTCTCAGGGACTACACAAAAAAGTGGAAAGGGTAGGCTGGCAAGACATCAACCACCCTCTAGCACAGGCCCATTACAAGCATTTTAAACCACCCTTGGTGGGCCTCACCTCTTCTGATCCAGCTTCACTTTCTCCACTTCTCTGTGCAAAGATGTGATCTGTAAAACAGACATAGGATTCACAGATCCCAAGTTAAGATAATCTCACATGCATAATAAGACCAGCAAAGAGATAAAGTCATTCTGGCAATGGCAACATTTGCTTTAGTGCCAGAGGGTTTAAATAAGGTTGGTTAAAGAAAATGGGAACAGTGGGGACTGACACAGTGGGCTGGTTGTGTTGTTGTGTCATGAGTTTCTAACAGCATGAGCTTAAAGTTTGATTTAATGTTGAGGTGAACAACTTCAGCAATTCTACAAGACCTTGTGAAGGAGCTGGTGAGCAAGATGGCTTCTTACCTTCTCTCCATTCTCAATCAGAGTCCTGTCCCAGGCATTGACTTGGGTGGCCTGCTGCAGGAAGTGTTTTTCCTGGTCCTCCAGTTCCAGGCTCCACTTGTTAATCAAGCTCTCCAGCTGGGCATATGTCATCACTGGAGGAGCTCTACAAAGAAGGTGGAAGGAAGGCAAGGGGGGGGGGAATCCAAGGCAACTCACAATTAAATCCAAATGAGAGAATGTTCTAACCTACACACCAAAAACCCATGGTGTGCCTGCCATATGAAAAACACACTGTGAACTTACGTGGCTGTTGTGGTGGCAACAGCAGATGTGGATGCCACAGTAGCAGTTGTGGCTGGTGGCTTCAGATTTAATGTGAATCCAGCACTGGGAGCAGATGTTGTACCTAGAACGAAAGTTCTTTGAAATCAAGTTGCAGCAGAAATGAGCAAGGCAGGCAGCCAGAGGCCTGGGAACTGGTCCCAGAGAGGGCTACCTCTAATTTTAAGCTCAGCTATGACTGAAGAGAAAGGGGGGGGGGAGGCTTTAAAGGCTTCATTGTTATGAGCAGACCTGAACCTCACTCTCTCACAATACAGTATACTTGTAATGCTTGATACTATTATCTGCCCAGGGATCACACCCTCTTTTTAATTCTTTTAAAACACAAAGGAGGAAAATAACTTTTCATTCTCTTATTCAGGGCATCCATTAAGGTGGGTGGGTAAGAAAATCAACCAATCCTAGATTATAAAGTTATTTTCACACATACACAGCACAGGAATGCAGCAGGAGTTCCCTTGCCTGGGAACCTACATAAGTCCCACTATTAAACATACTGATATTTTTCAGATGGCAGAAGGGTAAACAGCAGCTTTACAGTACCTAGAACAGAGCAGTCTACTTCATAGACTCTGTTAAGCATTATAAATAAAATAAACATAAACATAAGTAAGTAAAGAGGCTAGCAGGGGTCCTGTGTTCTACTTCTATCAACCGTACTTCATTTTGTGATACCCACTGGCTGCTGTAGTGGCTGCTACTGCTGCTGTAGTTGTCATCCCAGAGACTTTAGTGCCAAATCCCACAGTCCCCGCAGTGGGTGTCCCAGATGAAGAAGCACCAACTGCAAAAAGAAGCAAATGACAAAGCCTTCTGAGTCACATGGTTTTGTGTAGTGGTTAAGTGCACGGGCTCTAAACTGGGAGAACCGGGCTTGATTCCCACTCCTCCACTTGCAGCTGCTGGATGACCTTGGGCAAGCCGTAGTTCTGTCAAAGCTGTCCTTGAAACAGCAGTTCTTGAAAGAGCTCTCTCAGCCCCGCCTATCTAACATGGTGTCTGTTGTGGGGAGGGGAAGGAAAAGGAGTTGTAAGCCGCTCTGAGATCCAAGTGAAGGGCGGGGTATAAATCCAATCTCTTCTTCTTCCCTCCTTCTCTTCAACTGCTTCAAAGTTGGATTTTTTTAACAGCCAGATATTTCTGAGGTCAAGGCAGTCCAAGCCCCCAGCTTTCCTCTCAACTCCAGCAGCCAGCAGGACATCAAGAGACTCTTCCCACTAGATGCAATCCCCACTTACGCGAGAGGCTGTTAACAGCAGAGGGAGCTGGAGCTGAGGAGTTTGCTATGGATGCAAAGAGTGTTGGTCCACACAGCCCAAGGAGGGAAGGTGTCGTCGTGGTGGAAGCTGCCGTCGAAGTTGCAGCTGTACCTGCTGAGGGGGGATATATCGTGACTTAAGATTCCACTCTGGAGTAAACTGGGCATGCATACATTTTCACTTCAAGCCAATACAGACGCTTTAACTCTGTGTACTTCCTTACTACTCAGTCCTATTTTTGAGTAATCTGAATGTTTGCAGGCCCTTTTAATTGAAGCACAGTTCTACTGATAAGGCAAATAAGGTACAAAATCTCTGCAGCAGCTCCTTCTAAGGCTAATAACTATTTCTGCCACTACTTCAGCTGCATTATACGAAGTCCTGCACAGAGTACAGAAGCAACAGGTCTTGCAGAAACCTCAGAGAGAAATGCACAAAATAGGTGCAGGAAGAGGTCACAGCTAGATAAAGCAATTGTAATGGAACAGGAGAAGAATAAGTATTAGCAAAAATAAGGAGAAGCCACAAAAGTTTGGGAAAGGACTTACCAGAAAAAATGGTGACAAGATTGAAGGGACAAATTAAAAACAGGCAGGAACTGAGCACAGAAAAAGGTGCAAAGAGCAACTACAGTAGGTCTATTTGCATAGAAGAACTGAACAAGGAAAAAATGAGCAAGGAACGATATCTTAAAACAAGGACCAGAAGTCTGAAGTCAATATAGACAAGTATAGCAAGTAAAGGAAAAAACAAGCTTAGCAAAGGGTTTTGAAGCAATTTCAGAGGTAAGAATGATGGTGACCACATGGACAGCCACTCCACCACCAATACACTTCTCTCTCCAGACCCTACCTCCAAGTTTGGCTCCAAATGACAAGGTGGGACCCTGGCTCAGCGTTCCTGTAGGGGCAGAGGTGGCAGCTGCTGCAGTACCGAGAGGTCCAAAGCCTGAACCTGAAACAAAAAGAAAGTTAAAGAAAAAGTGTTTGTTCATGGAACTTTTAGGCTCATAACCTCCACCCACATACTGGTGTGGCTTTATGGGATGTGTGTGTGTAGAAGAACTCTACATGAGAACATTTGACAATATATGCTGCAGCACTCCACATACACAGCGGTGTTAAAATAACATAGACCTGTTGAAGCTTATAACATGAAAACAGGTCACAACTTTACAGCAGCACACAAAGAAAGTGAGCCTTGGTCACAACTTTACAGCAGCACACAAAGATAAGAAAATGAGCCTTGCTGGATTAGACCAGTGGTCCATCTAGTACAGAACACTGATACACAGTAAACAAACAAAACACTGAGGACCAAGTCTTGTCCCAATGCTGCCTCCCAGAATTGGTATTCAAAGGTCTACTGCCTCTGGATGTAGAAGTTCCCTTCAGTTATCAAGGCTAGTAACCATGGATGGACTTATCTGTTTAATTCCCTTTTCAAGCCATTTTCAACACTTACCATCACCATTGTGAGGCAAAGCACTCTAGTTTCACCAAGGGTCAATGCGAATAACAATGGGTCTGCTTCAACTTACAGGTGTTTGTAATTAACCTATCTGTATCTCTTTCAAGGCCTGATATCAGAGTGCAGTAATTTGTTAAGTGAAAAGGCCTGCACTCAGTACAGAAACTAGATGGGAGGAGGAGTCAAGAGTAAATTGCATCATATCTTGGAAGACTCCAGCAAACGAGTGCTTTGATTGGACGCTGAAGACTGCCTGATGTTAGGGAAAAGAAAACTATAATTGGGCTTCAGATATGAGTGATGCAATGCTAACTTTTAATCCCATGGGACAGATGTATAAACTTCTAGCCTAGTCTCCACTATTTGAATGGTGCAACAGTTATTGCCAGGTACTAAAGTATTAGAAAGCTAGCTTTTATTATGTTTTTTGCTAATTGATTTTAGAGACTGTGCTGCCTAATAATATTCTCAATTTCATCTGTTCAATAAACCTATATGTATTTTTAAAGGTTTGGTCTTCGTGTGTGCATTTAGCCTCAGGGTCCCATGAGTCTGAGCACTGCTTGCTGGGTTTCTTGACAACGATGTCCAGAGAATTCCATAAACTAATTAGCTGTTGAGTAAACAATATCATAGACACAGACACACAAAGTCACAGTTTAGATTACCTAAACCAAAATCCTAAACAGTTATTGCTCTCAAATCACCACTGAAAGGCTTTCCATACCAGGAATGGTCTCTTACCTGCAGGTTGTGTTCCAAGGCTAAAAGCCGTAACAGGTTGTGATGCAGCTGCTGTGGTCGTAGCAGTGCTGACTATGGCTGGGGCAACTCCAAAGGTCAACGCTGTGGCTACTGGTTGCTGTGTTGAGTTCCCAACTGAACCAAGGCTGAAGTTGGGGGTCCCAGACTGGGCTGCTGTTCCACTGCCAAAGCTGAAACCTCCAGTTGTGCCAGGCTGTGTAGCAGCAGTGGTGGAGCCAAACACAAAGCCTGAAGAAGCTGCTGGCTGGCTAGCTGGTACACTAGTTGTTACAGTGCCACCCAGTCCACTACTATTGCCCAGAGCAAAGCCTCCTGTAATCCCAGTAGGTTGTCCTGTTCCAGTGCTGCCCAGGTTCAGCTTGGGTGCATTCCCCCTAAATAGAGAGCAAGAACAAGAGGCTTTCATTAAAGGGGAGGGGGAGCCCTCAAGTCCCCTAATGCTCAGGAATTCACTGTACTGCTTCTTTTACCACCCCTTCCAGGCAGGCTACAGACAAGATTCTTTCACCACCACCACCACCACCTTTCTGTTGCTTTCTACTTGGGGGCTTCCTCAGCCACCGGCACAGCCCATAGGCTGCCCGAAGGCTAGGCTCGCCTCTGAGACGCACATAAGAGATCGGGAGGCGCAAAGGCTGCTAAGGCTCTCGCATTCAAGCACCAGGACCCGTCCTTGCCAAGCATTCCTTCTGCGTCCGACACCTCAGAGAGCGAATGCGGAGGAAGGAGCAGCGACTCTTGGACTCGCGGCTCCCTTCTCACCCGAGCCCGAAGACGCTGCTTGTTGCTGGGGCTGCAGGAGTGGGCGCGCCGAAGCTGAAGCCGGAGCTCTGCGCCGAGGTGGTAGGCGTGGTGAAGGAGAAGAGGGGCGGCGGCTGAGTGCTGGCGGGGGCCGCGGCCGGCGTCCCGAAGGTGAAGCCACCCCCGGAGTTGGCCGATGACGAGGGGGCAGAGGAGGTGAAGGAGAAGCCCGTAGGGCCGGTGGCGGCCGTTGTCTTCGGCGTCCCGAAGCTGAAACCACCGCCAGACGGGGCGGTGCTGCCGAAGCTGAACTGGCTCATGGCACCGGACTCTGCGCGCAGAAAACGATTAAAAAATGTCTCCCTTCGGACCAAACCGAGTTTCGTTTTCAGCCGACGCGCGCTCTGATGACGCAGACACACGCGCCGGAAATGTTGATGGGGAGAGCCGCAACCCTCCGGCTCCAGAAGCTGCGGTCCCGCCTTCTCAAAGGCGATTGGGCGCAGCAGAGCCCCGATGTGTTGCCGTGGCAACACTGGGGACGCAGCTGGAGATCGCGGCGCTAGAGGACTGGACCTGTTGAATGCGAGTCTAAGGCGATGGCTGCGGAGACTTCGCTTCCGTCCTTGCTCGCCCTGGCAGAGCTCCTCTCCGGCCCCCGCGATGAAGACGAGGACGACGACGAGCTGGAGCAGGTAGGTGGGCGGGCAGCCTCTCAGCGGGAGGGATCCCCGGGAGGCAGGCAGGCAGGCAGAGAGGCCGCTGCGTGCCCAAGGGCGGCTGGAGTGGACAGAGTGACGGTTAGTTGTCCTCGCCTTGCCCGGGGCAGCCTGCAAGCGACGGGGAGAGCCCCGCCGCAACGATGGCTGTTGTTGCGCTTGTGGTGCGACCGAGAGTCTGATATCGTCCCTGCCTGCCTGACTCCCCTGACCCGAGGACGAAGGGTTCCGCCGCGGGTAGCGTAGCCCACGAACCTTGGCGAACGGCAGGCGCTTCTTTTGCAGGGCCCGACTTCGGCTGCGAGCAACTTGGGGCCAGGGCACATTGCAGCTCCGATGTCCGTGAAGCCCTCAGGTAAGACGGCGTCCTTTCGGCATCTTCGCTAGCAACGAGCTAGAGGAGTGGCGGGAGAAGATTCCGAAGAACGAAGGGTGTGGGGACCAGGACATAATGGGCTTTCTGGGGCAAAGGAGCCAGTTGCGCACTGCGCAGCCTCCCGGAATGGGCACAGAGATGCATCATCTGCAGCACGAGCCCACCTGTCAGGAGAGCTGATCAAATCCTCTTTTGCATACTGCTTGAGAGAAGAGGGAAATGCAACTTTCCCTGGCAGGTCCTAGTATATAAAGCCATCTTTGTATAGGAAGAGGTAATTGAAGATGCCTCCCAGAGAAACAGTTTCAGTTGCATGGAATCGTGGGAGATGTATTTATTTATATATTCAGCCAATGTTCCCTCTAAGCTGTGGAGTCCTGTGAGCAAAACATTCTACTTTGTGAGCTACTGGCATTAAAGTTGTGAGCAAGCGATTGGGCTACTGCATCAATCAGTTTGCTCTGAAGCCCTCCTTCCCAAGCTATGACAAAAATGTGTGAGCCAGAGGCTAAAAAACTGTGAGCTGGCTCACACTAACTCAGCTTAGAGGGAACACTGATTCAGACCCTATTATATATTTATACCCTGTGTTTATCTCCAGTGGGGACCCTAGGCAGCTTACATATTCTTCATTCCTCCATTTTTATTGATTTGTTTGATTTATACCCCGCCCTACCCCAAGAATGTGCTCAGGGTGGCTGACAACATAAAATCAGCAAACAATAAAAATAAATAGCAATAGCAGGTAAAATCGAACCCATGCTCCTCACGACAACAAACCTATGAGGTAAGTTAGGCTGAAAGTGGCTAGCCCAAGATCACACAGTGGCAGAGTGGGAATTCGATCCTGGGTCCTAGTCTGACATTCTAACCACTACACCACACTGGAAGTTGTCTTGACCCCCAGCCAGAGTGGAACAGGTGGAGAGCGAACCAACCAAGCTGATGTGGTGGGTGGGCACAGAACATATGTTCTAGAAGCTGAGAGGTAACAGGAAGAGAGGAGGAACAGACCTAGAGGGAGAGAGACGAGGTGAAGCAGAGATGTTTAAACAAATCTTGTTTGGTATTAAATGTGCTGGAAGGCAAAGGGGAGACCCATGGCCAAAGCCTGCCTAACATGGCATGCTAATGTTATTGGAAGAGAAGCCTAGATATGTACAGCCTCAGTCTCCAAGAGGGGTGTATAGAAAAGTTGCTTTCTATATCCACATGCCTTCTCCTGTGATTACATTATGATAACATGCTGTGTCTTATTTCCTGTTGCAGCAGGCAGGGTCTCCAAACTTCCAGCCAATCCCACAAACCTGATGTTAGCAACCATGGCAACCAACAATTTGGGCACACCCATGTCCACTCACAATTGGCTGATGGCCACATCTAATTTGTGACTGGAATTGGGGTATAATTGTTTGATCCCTGTGGGAGTGAGCTCTCTTGCTCTCTCCCCTGTCTTGTTGGCTGTTTTAGTGCACCTGAAATGTTGCCTCTTGGAAAACAAAGAGTTGCTTTGTGAACTGGAGCACATGGTTGTGCAAAGATGGGATTTCTCCTCAAAATCCCTTGGTACTTGGACTATTTTGAACTGATGAAGATTCCTGACTTGGTAACTATGAATATTTAGTGTAGTTAAGGCAAATTGCCTTAGGCTTGTTATTTTGTAATCTCTTATAGTCTGTTTTGCTATGCTCTGTACTGAATAAAGATCCCTCTTATTTGTAATTTGTCTCTGATGTTGTAACTTGAATTCCAAGGCTAGATCTTGTGCCTTATGCTCACCACATAAGCTACCTTTGTAAGAGTAAAAGTGTGCATCTCTGGATTGAGTTGCTAATGTGTTCTGTCCCAGATGCAAACTAAGGGTTTGGAATCTCTTCCCTTAGGAAAAGCAAGGACTAGTGAAAAGAGTTTCTGGTGGCAAATTGTCTGGAAACCAGAGAGGGTATAGACCATCTCGTGGTTTGTTGTTTAATGTACTGAAAAGTACAAGATTCCCTCTCATCCCTGGACTGGCGTGGGTGGGCTAATCCTGTACAGGGGAATTGCACACAGGTCAGTGAGATAGGCAAACTGGGTTTTCTTCTTGTTTACTCTCCTGTCTCTGTTCTTTGAAGTAGACTGATAGATTATGGGGAAATTGCCTTTCTTCCTACCTTTTTGCCCTCTCAAACATCCATGATGGAGGCTGGATGCCTCTCTGCATCTAGACCCATCCAAGGTAGTTCAGATTAGTCCTGTCTCCATCTCTTATTCACTATCTAGATTGTTCCTAAATAAAAGGACTATTATTAGTCTTGAAACTGAATAGTGGCTCTGTGTAACTTCGTAACTCTACTAGCACACTGAGAACAAAGGGCTTCTACTGCGTGTAGCCAAGGTGCACTCTGCTAAATTGAGAAGGGATACTAGACTAACCAGTTACTCCCAACAAATATTTCCCAGTCTTGTTTCCTTCTTCAAAGCAGGATTCATGACAGAAGTTCTGCAAAGCACTTATTGTAAAATACAAATGTTAAATTGTACTTTTAGCTCAATCAGTCACATATTCTTTTTTAGCAAATCTTTACATATCTTGCATTGCCTACATTCGTCTCATTATTTTCTAGTGTAAAGTAGCAGTTTTCTGGATTTGTGATATTAGGTACAAAATAATTACTTTACAATTATTCATGAATGTCCATGATTATTTTTTTAATTTTTTTTATTTACTAGACTTTTTAGTCGCCGTTCACCCAAAGAGTCTCATGGCAACTTACAAAATTAAAACCATATAAATAAGGTAAAACAACATAAAAACAAATAAATATAAAATATTAACATTAAAATATTAAACACTTAAAATCTGTGGTTAGTGCCATACCACTAATAAAAGCAGCCCAAACTTGTGGATTATCCTCCAAAGGCCAACCTAAACGATTCAGCCTTGCATGCCCTGCAGAAACTAAAAGTCCAGCAGGGCAAGGGTGTCATCCAAGAGTGCATTCCACAGGGTAGGGGCCACAATTGAGAAGGCCCTTACTCTGGTGACAGCTAACCGAGCCGTCTTGGGGCCAGGCACCTGCAAGAGGCCCTGAGACGATAACCGAAGGGAGCATGGGGGGTTGTAATGGGAGAGGCATAGGTCCCAGTCTGTAAAGGTTAGCATCAGCACCTTGAATTGGATCTGGAGACTAATTGAAGTTAAAGGGATTTATACCCCGCCTCCGGGGAGGGCGGGGTATAAATACAAATAATAAATAATAAATAAATAAATAATAAAGGGGAATCTACCATAAGTCAATATGTGCAGTTTGAAAACTGAGATACTTTTTGGTTTGTGAACCCAGCTGTATAGAATTCCTCAAAGGTCCTATTATGTTATCACGTATTTGTGGACCATCTCTGTAAAAATCTGCAGTAACTGCCTAGTGGCAGTCACAGATCAGGTAACTGCTTGGCAACAGCAGATCAGCTAGGTTGTTTTGTCTGCCTTATTTCAGCCACCACTCAACTGAAATCTGGGAATAGCAAAGAGATCTGGAGTGCAGAAGAGGTGCCAGAGGGATCAGAGTATGATGATTCCTGTGATTCCAGAGAGCAACCTGAGTAAGTGCATTGAAGCCATACAGCCCCCAAGGGGAACCCTTTCCATGTAACCTTCCCCAAATGTTTTTCTTCCTTTTCCAGATAACTGACTGAAGCCCGTTCTGTGAATTTGCTCATTATTATCAGACACTGTATGTATTAACTTGGCCCAAGTTGGATTAATTGTCATTATTTCATAAGGCCTTGATTTTCTAGGAGAGATGCTTTCTGGGCAATCCTCAGAGTTGTCCAAAGGAAAATAGATGGCAGAAGAGGTAACTCTAGTGCAGGTAAGAGGCAGACTTGGTGTCTACAAAGAGTCTACAGTTTAGTTCTGTAACAGGCACAGTTACCAGATCTGTTGTGCTTTCTACACTGTGCTTCTGAGGATTTGGGGAATAACTCATTTTTATTTGCTCAGTTTTAATTGGTGAATTTCACTAAGTGCATTACATCCTCAGTTTGGTGTAGTGGTTAAAAGTGGTGGTGGTGTAGTGGTTAAGAGCCAGTTTGGTGTAGTGGACTGTAATCTGGAGAACCAGGTTTGATTCCCCACTCCTCCACATGCAACCAGCTGAGTGACCTTGGGTTAGTCACAGTTCTCTCAGAACTCTCTCATTCCCACCTGTCTCACAGGGTGTCTGTTGTATGGAGAGGAGGGGAAGGAGATTGTAAGCTGCTCTGAGATTCTGAGTGAAGGGCAGGGTATAAATCCAACTCTTCTTTTTCTTCTTCAAAGTATATTCTTTAGTTATGTTTTCTCATTTTAAAAAAATCAGAAAGAGAACATGCAGTTCCTGAATTTGCTGCATTCTGAATTAGACAAATTGATTTGGAAGTGGAGAAAAATCAATGGTTGCCAAATAGAAAATAATTAAAATTGGTTAAGAAAAAATAGCTCTGCTATGACCCGTCTTCTGAAAGGTCTTATAAATGGGGGGAAGAAACACAGCTAATAATGGTTTGCCAGAGAATTGCTTGGCAGCCTGCTTGTGAGAAGCCTTCCTTGTGGGAGCATGGCTCCAAATCTACCATCCTCACTTTGCTTTCTGGTCTTGTCATGGTGCATCTTGAACAGGAGGCAGCTGAAGCTGCATGTGCAGGAAGAGTGGGGGGAGCTGGCAAAATTATCTTCAAGCCGTGAAGGTGGTCTGAGGCTGATTTCACGCTTACAAACTGAGAGCCATGGCTTCCTTGATTGAGTCAACCCATCTTATGTTGGGCCTCTCGTACTGCCTTCATCTTTCCCTAGCGTTATTGTCCTTTCCAGTGAATCTTATTTTCTCATAATGTGACCAAGTTCAACAGCCTTAGTTTGGTCATTCTTCTAGGGATAGGTCAGGCTTGATTTAATCTAGAATTCACTTATTTGTCTTTTTGGGATCCATGGTATCCATAAAACTCTCAACACCACTTTTCAAATGAATCAACTTTTTTTTTCTTTCAGCTTTCTTCATTGTCCAACTTTCACATCTACAACATAGTAATGGGGAATACAATAGTATGAATTATCTTGCTCTTGGTAGCCAGCTACACATTCTTACACTTAATGATCTTTTCTAGTTCTTTCATGGCTGTCCTTCCCAGTTTCAATCTCCTGCTGATTTCTTGGTTGCAGTCTCCCTTTTGGTTGATGATGGAGCCAAGAAATGGAAAATCTTTAACAATTTCAGTTTCTTTATCATCAGTCTTAAAGTTGTATAAGCCCTCCGTAGTCATTACTTTTGTCTTCCTGATGTTGTGGTATTTTCTACTTTAACCTTCATCAGTAGTCATCTCAGGTCTTTGCTGTTGTTGTTTTTTATGCCCCCCGGAGAGGATTTTTTAATTGCATTTTTATTAACACTACAAACTATAACAGAAAATAGGGAAGGGGACTACATATAAGGATAAAGAAAAGGTACCCATTACTGACTAAAAACCCAAGAGAGGAGGTCATCGAATCAGTTTAAACATACGTTAGCACTTAATCACGTTAATCCCATTATGAACTAAGTCAAGTATAGTATTATCTTTTTCAATTCTTAATTTTAACTGTTACAAGAGGGTCCCTAAGCATCTAATTTCAATAATTTCAAAAGCACAGTTCAGAGTCCTTCAGTCTTCATTTTCCCTTGCCCAGTCTCTTTTGCAGTTTGTAAGGACTTTAGGGGGCTGCTGCCCCTTTCTCTGATAGAGAATCTTCTCCAGAAGACCCCGAGTCCAGCTCGCCACTGGACCTACTGTCCATCCCTTTTTTTTTCTTCCTCCCTTGGCTCTCCCAGCTGGACTCTTAAAAATTCCCATGCTTTCTGAACAGAGTCAATCTTTTCCTTTTTATCCTTAATTTTGAAGGTTATGCCCTCAGGAGTTAGCCATCTATATCCGATTGCATTTGTCTGGAGAAAAAGAATTAAATCTTTGTACTTCTTTCTCCTTTGTCTTATTTCAAAAGGAATGTCTTTTAAAATTCTAATAGTGTTTTCTCCAACTTTCACAGGTGTGCCAGATGCCGCTTTCAGGATTACATCCCTCACATGCCTCTTTGAGAATCTTATCACTATTTCCCCAGGCAGATTGTTTTTCTTTATATATCCAGAATATGACCTGTAGGCCACATCCATATCGCTCAGCAAAGATTCCGCCTTCATATCTGTCACTGGGGCCAGTAATTCACTCATCATTTCCTTCTGATTCTCTCCCTTAGTCTCTGGAATACCCTGGAGGCGAAGAATCAAATTGGCTTTTTCCATTTGTAGCTGTAACAGTTGATCTTCTTTTCCAATTTTTGTACTTTCTTCTTCACCCTTTGAGCAGTGGTGTCTACTTCTTTCACCTTCTCAGCTGTTTGATTCATCATTTTAAGAGTCTCATTCAACGGATGGTGATACACTGATTCATTGTTGACAGCTGCTCCCTGACATTATTCATCTGATCCAGCAGGGGGCCCATGGATTCCGCCAATGTCTTTGCCAGCTCGTTGGTTGCTTCCGGCCTTGGACTCTCAGTTCCTTTCGCTTTTAACACTTTCTCTTTCTCTGTCCTCTTCCCCGCCATCTTTTTGGATTGTTTACTTTTGCAAAAGTTTTAAAAGTCTCTGAATATGCGCTTAAATGCTCAAGCTCGCCTTGGTAAGTCTCTCAACAGTTATAACCGCTTTCTCTTCCGCTCCCCTCCTCCTATTCGCTTAAAAGTTTATGCGCATGGGAGGCGTCCCTCCCCCGCTCTCCTCACTTTCTGTTCCGCGTGGGTGGGGAGCTTTCTTTTCACTTTAACCGATCGCTTTAGTTGAACTCAAGTTCATAATTGGTCCGTAGACCCCGTTTTAGCTCCTTTTCTTTCGCTCGACCTCCTGCACTTGCCCCGGTCGGCGTCACTTAGTTCCATTCAGTCTCGCAGCATGAAGAACCATCTGGACGGAGAAGCGCCTCAATTCCCCGGCATCACACCGGTGAAGAGGCAACCTCTCAAGAGTCCCATGGCCAGAGCCCCTTCAACCGGGTCCCTGGGGGGTGACGATCCTGCACACCCCCTCCTTCTGCTGGAGCACAGCTTCACCCCCAGGAGGTCCAGGAGGTGAGTCTGCTAGCGCACCGCCATCAACCGGAAGTCAGGTCTTTGCTGTTTTCTACCAGTAATGTGATGTCATATGTGCATCTCAAATTGTTAATGTTCTTTTGCCAATTTTCACTTCCCCTTCATCTAAATCTAACCCAGTTTTTCTTTTGATATGTTCTGCATATAGATTGGAGATAAAATACATCCCTATCTGACACCTTTGCCAATTGGAAACCATTCTGTTTCTTTAGTCTGTCCTAAGAGTAGCTTCTTGTCCAGAGTACAGATTGCACATCAGAGCAATCAGATGTTGTAGCACACCCATTTCTTTTAAAAACCAACCATAGTTTTTCATGATCCACACAGTCAAAAGCTTTGCTGTAATCCATGAAACACAGTTTTCTTCTGAAATTCTCGTGTATGCTCCCGTAACCAATGTAAATTTGCAACATGATCTCTAGTGCCTCTTCCTTTTCTGAATCCACCTTGAACACTGGGCACTTCTTGGTCCATATATGGTAACAAGTCTTTGTTATAGGATTTTGAGTATCACTTTACTTGCGTGAAATTAATGCAATGGTCCGAGATAGTCGCTGCTGTCTTGGACGTCTCCTTTTTTGGAATTAGGATGTATATTGAGTGTTTCTAGTCTGTAGGCCATTGTTTTGTTTTACATATTTGTTGCCATATTCTTGTCAAGAGTTTGATGGACTCCTTTTCTGTGACTTGAAATAGCTCTATTGATATCCCATGTTCTCCTGGTGATTTGTTTCTCCCAGTTGCTTTGAGTGCAGTTTTCACTTCACTTTCTAAAATTGCAGGTTCTTCTTCAAAAAATTCTTCATTGAAGGATTCTGTCATCTCTCTGTATAGTTATTCAGTGTATTGTTTCCATGCTGATCTTTCAGCAAGCCTGTTTTAAATTTCTCCTTAATTTCTTGGATGTTGTGGATCAGTTCTTTTGTTCTTCCTTTTTTATTGTTCTCTTCTTTTTCTTTACATTGATTATTGTAACCATGCCAGTTGCTAGAATGCTGCGTTTAGACTTCTCATTTTATTTCTGTCACATTTTTTTTGTTTTTATCTGTTTTTAGCAGTTTTAAGAGTTTCATTACTCTTCCCACAGTTAGAAAATACACCTTTAGACATTTATCTGCTATGCTGGCATATTTATTGCTTTACAACTGTTGACCTTATAACCTTAACTTGATATTTAGTGTCATTTAGCATATCTTGAACATAATCATGTTACATGTTAATTTGCTGTGCATTCTCTGACTAGATGTTTGAACCTTGCCTGCCATTCCAATGTATTTGATAAAGTGTGCATGCATACAAAAGCTCATACCTTGAATAAACCTTTATTGATCTTAAGGGTGCCACTGGACTCTAAACTTGTTCCATCCATCAAGGCTTTCAATTTCTTTTGGCTACAGGAACAGTCTTTGTGCATTTTTCCTTGATAATATCTCTGGTTTCAACCCATAGTTCTTCTGGTTCCCATTCACTTGAACTTAGTAATGCAAACCTGTTGTCTACATGGTCTTTAAACTCTTCAAGGATGATCTTTAGATTGTATTTTGGAACTGTGAATGTTTTGGTGTTTTTCTTAAGCTTTATTAGAATTTTCAATATTAACAATTCATGATCTGTACCACAATCAGCTCCCGGTCTTGTTTTAGCAGGGAGAGTAACGTTTTTCTGTCTTCCGCAGCTAATTTCATAATCTATTTAATTTCTGTATTGGCTATCCAGTGATGTCCACATATACAATTATCTGTTTGGTTGCCTGAAACGTGTTTGCAATGAACAATTTGTTGTTTTCACAAAATTCTAGGAGTTACTCTTCTGCTTCATTCTGTGCTTCTAGCCCAAATTTTCTGACAATATTTGATTGTTCCTCACTTTTCCATTCCAGTCTCCTATGATTATCAGTACATCTTGTCTAAGTGTGTAATCAATTTCTTCCCGGATGCTTGCATAAAAGCTTTCTGTTTCTTCCTCTTCAGCATCTGTAGTTGGAGTGTAAACTTGAATGATTGGTTATGTTGGTATGATTTCCATGAAGTCTGATTGATATTATTTAGTCAGACTTTGCATTATAGCCTGATCGCTTGTGCTACATCTCACCTTGCTATTAGAGCAACTCTGTTTCTTCTGTTTTTCTCAGTTCCCAAGTAAAACACTTTGTAATTTCCTGGCTGAAAATGTCCTAATCCATTCCACTTTATTTCACTCACTCAGCTACCAGTCTGAAAACTAATTAGTGTTGTCTTTTCTCAGGTATGAAATTTTGTTCAAGCAGCAGGTGGGGGCTGAAGACTTGTTCCTGGGGATGAGCCGAAAGGACCCCTCCACAGCCTGCTGTGAGGATATGCTGGTAAGCTGGATGTTGCATCTCTTGATTCTTCTTGGTTTCTAGTGTCTTTGCCTTCCTTGTTCCTGTATAGATTCTGCCCCCAAGCCTGTCCAGGAATGAGGGAGGAACCTATATTTTTTCAGTAAATTAACAACAACTTAGAGAGGTAGGCTACCCTCTCTAGATTCAAAACAATAGCCACCAGAACCCCTTTTTAACTAGTCCCGGCTTTCCCCAAGGGAGGGATTCCAAACCTTTAGGTTAGCCTCTGGGACATAACACATTGAACAACTCAATCTAGAGCTGCCCAGTTAATCTTACCAAGGTAGCTTGTATGGTGAGCAGAAGGCACAGGAGTTTAGCCTTGGAACCCAGTTACAACATCAAAACAGGTTAGAAACAAGGATAATATTTTATTCAATCAGAGCTTAGCAATTAGACTAATAAGGGTTTCAAAACAAGAAAGACTAGGGCAGTTTTTGCCTTCACTAAACATAATGCTGCATATTTACCAAGTCAGGAACAATTATCAGTCCAGAATAGCTCCATATGCCCCAAGGGATATGGAGCAAGAAGTCCATCTTTGCCAACCATGTGCTCAGCTCACCAAGCAATCCTTTGTTCTCCAACAGACCACATGGCAGGACAGTCTTTCAGGTGAACAGCACACTCAAGCAGCAGAGAGAGCAGGAACAGAGAGCTCTCTTCCAAGGGACCAGACAATTAAACCCCAATTCCATTCATGACCAGCCATGGCCAGTAGCCAATCACGAATGGACAGAGGGTGTGTCCAATTGGTGGGTTGCCATAGTTGCAACATCTGAATGGCTAGGACTCTGAAGGCCACACCTGCAGTCATGTGACTCCCAAACCCCAAACTGCATTGCATACGTGACTGTTTGCCTGAGGTCTGCCATTTGGCATGAACGTGTGAAAGAATGTGGGTTTATGGCATGCTATTGAGGCCATCTGGGCCTCACCATTTGGCTTGCGAGAGGAAGTAAGCCACAGCGTTATCAGAAGATATCACATGAGAAGGCAGGAGGCTTTTAGAAATCAATATTTCTATACAGTTCCTTACGCTGTTCTGAAAAAGACTCCAAAGTTATGAAGGAGTAGTTCGCACTGGTGACAAACTGCAAGTTTACTGGCTACTGTCTGTTCCCAAGCAGTCAACATTGTAGTCTTATTTCCACATATTAAATATGTTCATAAAGGACTCTTGTCTACAGAGCAGCCAACTCCCCCATTCAGTCCACCCCCTTACAATGTCTTGTTTCATTTCAGATTAAAATTCAACTGCCAGATACAAAGGCTTCAGACATCACTCTTGATATCAAGGAAAAGGTTCTTGATCTTCGGAGTCCCCAGAAGTATGTAGTGGGGGTTGGGGTAGGGTAGGGGCTGGCATATTTCCTTAAGCAAATTGCCCTTATTTCATCAGTTCCTTGTTCGTTCAGAAACTCCTGCAGGTGGAAAGGTTTCCTGACTCCAACATTCCATGGCCAGTATCAGATTTAAATGAAAGTGTTTGTAGCCCTGATGTTCACATGTGAAGGCTGTGAAAATGGGAAGCAACAGCTGCCCATGAGTCAAACACAAGAACATTGTGTGGTGGTGGGCAGTTTCTTATCTCCATTGTGTTCCTCCCCATGCTTCTCAGTTCTCCCCCCTTCCACCTTTGTTGTGTTTCACTCTTGCTCTTGTGTTACCCAGAATAGTCTAATATTAAATTAGGGGAATTTAGATAAACAAGAGGGGGTAACTTAAGATCAGCACCTTTGTTTACCAAGATCCTTCCCTAAGAGAAACCTTACATGAACCAGGCAGATATTCCACTGGTAAGGATTTTATTAAATAACTAGACTGATACCCATGTTTCGCTACAGTATTTAACTTCCATAAATCCAGTTATAATACTGACAATGTGAAGTTTGAAATGTAACATTTGTTGTAGGAATTCTAATGGAGAAGACTGTAGTGTAAAACATGAAGTGAGACATATGTACTTTTTTCCTCTCTACTGAAGGACCTCTCTGTAGACTGCTGGGGTGGGCTCCCTCATGGCTTTAAGCACCCTGGAACCACTGCTGCACCTGACAGACAACCACCTGTTAGGTGTAGGAGGTGGGGGGAGTGTGTTGGAAGCCATCAGAGAGGCTGGGCCAGCAGCATCGCTAAGGTGATCTTTCTGGGGGAGCATCCCTGAGGGATTAAAGTACCCTAGTCCTGCTCCTACACCTTACAGACACCCGCCTGTCTGGTTTTGGGGGGATTATGTTTAAAGGCATCAGGGAGGCTGAGCCAGCAGCAGGGCTAAGGCAGTCTTGCTGGGCAAATCTCCCCGGCATCTGTAAGCATCCAACCTCCTCTCCTACACCTGATAGGCAATGGCCTGTCCGGTTTGGGAGGGGGAGGAGTAGTAGAAGCCACTCTGGAGACAGGGCTGGCAGGATCACTAAGGTGTTACTGCTGGGGCAGTAACTCCCTTATTTATTTATTTATATTTATATTTACATTTATATCCCGCCCTACCCCAAAGGCTCAGGGCGGCTAACAGGGGCACAAAGTGCCAGGTTAAAACAATAACATACAGTTTAAAAACAATAAATTACAATAAAATATAAACAATTTACAGCAAATTTCAGGCAAGAAGGGAAGATCTTAACCTCACATAGCTACCGGTGATCTCATCCTCAGAGCTGTGTCCAGCGCCACGCTCCACCCTTGGGGGCCAGGCAATCGGATGTTAATTCTCTAGGGCATAGGGGGAACAGATGGAATAGTGGTGGCGGCGGCTCCTATCCAAAGGCCTGGCGGAAGAGCTCCGTCTTGCAGGCCCTGCGGAACTGAGAAAGGTCCCGCAGGGCCCGGATCTCCTCCAGGAGCTCTTTCCACCAGGTAGGAGCCGCCACCGAAATGCCCTAGCCTTAGTCACAGCAAATTTAGCTTCTCTTGGGCCTGGAATTTCCAGGAGATGCCTCCCTCCCGACCGAAATGCCCTTGGGGGAACATATGGTGAAAGGCAGTCCCTCTGGTAGGCTGGACCCTGGCCATTTAGGGCTTTAAAGGTCAAAACCAGCACTTTGAAGCGAATCCGGTACGCTATCGGCAGCCAGAGCAGCGCTTTCAGCACAGGCTGAATGTGGTCCCTCCTCGAGAGACCCATCAACAGCCTGGCCGCAGCATTCTGTACTAGCTGCCGCTTCCGAATTTGCGACGAAGGCAGCCCCATGTAGAGAGCATTGCAGTAGTCTAGCCTTGAGGTGACCGTCGCATGGGTCACTGTGGCCAGGTCCTCACGGTTGAGATAGGGGACCAACTGCCGAGTCAGCCGAAGATGGTAAAAGGCCGCCCTGGCAGTGGTTGCTACCTGGGCCTCCATCGTTAATGAGGAGTCCAGGCGCACCCCAAAGCTCCTAACCTCCGACGCTGGCACCAAAGGCACCCCATCGAAGGTCGGGAGAGGGAGCCCCAATCCCACGCCGGTCCGACTCAGGCCCGGGGTGGCTTTAAGCACCCTACAACTGCTGCTGCACCTGACAGAAAACTGCCTGTTAGGTGTAAGAGGTGGGGGGGAGTGTGTTGGAAGCCATCAGAGAGGCTGGGCCAGCAGCACCGCTAAGGTGATCCTGCTGGGGCAGCGTCCCTGATGTATTAAAGTACTCTGGTCCTGCTCCTTCACCTTACAGACACCTGCCTTTCTGGTGTGGAGGGGATCATGTTTAAAGGCATCAGGGAGGCTGGGCCAGCAGCAGGGCTAAGGCAGTCCTGCTGAGCAAACCCCCCCCCAGCAGCTGTAAGCGTCCCACCTCCTCTCCCACACCTGACAGGCAGCTGCCTGTTCAGTGTAGAAGGGGGAGGGAGAGGAGTATTAGAACCTACTGTGGAGGCAGGGCTGGCAGGATTACTAAGGCATTACTGCTGGAGCGGTAACTCGCTCGTGGCTTTGAGCACCCTGAAACTGCTGCTGCAGTTTGAAGCCATAGGGAGGCCTGGCCAGCAGCTTTGCTTTGTCTCACAGGTGGTTGGCCACTCCTGATTTCCTCAACTCTCATGAGCTCTCTGTAGTCCCCTGCAACTTTTTTTTTAACCTCAGAACACTGAACTCTGCAGCTGACCAATCAGAGAGTGGGAGGTGCAAGGAGGCAGCCGCCTGGCAGCCGCATAGGCATCAATGGGGGGAGCACATCTTACCCCTTTTGGCCCCCTTAGAGGTTGAATTTCTAAAAATCCCTTCTTAGTGAGCATCTACGCCATGGTAGGAGCGCTGACCCCGAATTTGGTGTTTCTAGGTCCAGCGGTTTGGCCTGGGCATTGATTTTACGGTGAGGGGACTTTCTTTTATATATATAGATAAAGTAAGCGAAAGTAATAAAATGTCAAACATACATACAAACACACTGAAACTCAGACACACTACTAAGAGGGAGATAAAAGGGATGAACAGGAATAGAGAGGGTATTTCTAATGGATGATACTTAACAATATTGAAGCTTCAGATCTGCTGTAAAAAGCAACCAGTGCTTGATGTGAGGTTGGCGTGCGTGTACACACATATACACACACAGAGGAATTGGCAGTGTGCCTGTATTTATACCCAAAAATGATACCTGAGGGTATGCTGATATGGTTGCATCGAAGGAACAATAGTGTTGATATGTTTGCAGGAAGGGTTAATATCTGTGGATGCCCCTTGATGTGTAGGATGAAGAGGAACTTCCAGGTGTTCTAAATATGCTAAGTGAGCAAATGGGAGAAGCAGAAGAGATTACCATAAGGCGTGATGCTGTTTCCCTGAGAAACCTCAGAATTGTAAAGTATACATTATTTTAGGATGGAGGAGAACTATTAGCAAGCCAGCCTCCTTTGATGAACTTCCAGATAGGGTTCCCCCCACCCCCCCCAGGCTGTTCCTGCCATTCCTTGTGGGGACATTCCTAGGCCAGGAAGTGAGATAAATGTAATTTCTGTCTGGAGTGATTTTTATATGAAGGGTGTATGGTATGACTTCCTTGTGGAAAGCCAACGGCCCCTCTGTAAGATGGCAGTGACTGGTAACAATCACATTGTCCATGAAGGTCACCAGCTTCGTTTCCTGCCATTCATGCTTCTTGTTGTATCATTGTGAGCACTTTGGATGGAGGGCCAGCCAGGCCTTGGTGATGTGCCTTTCTCGGGCTTCTTTCAGAGTCTAACTTTCCAACTGCACATTTTCCAGGAAGCTCCTCTTGCACCTACCACACCCTGTGGACCCCAACAGTGGGAGGGCCTGCTTCCTTTCTGAAAAGGGCACTCTGGAAGTCACCTTGCGCATGAAGCGAGAACTTGATTTCATCAACTTTGCTTGAAGAGAAAGAGTGAAAGTTCCATGAAAGAGGTATTGATTAGAGACTGTAAAAGACTGATTGAGATTCTTCAGTAAGGCATTCAAGCAGGAAGGGAGAAATCTTTTTCCCTCCACTTCTGAATATGCTGTTGCTGCACACAGTGGATCATCCTGCCTTGTTCTGGGAGACAAGCAGGAGTCTGGCTCCCTCTCCTGTTAACAACCTGGCCTCTGGACTTCCAATCCTGCTGTGAGTTTTGCATTATCTTTCACAGAGTGTAGCTGCTTTCAATGAGGTTTTACACCCATATATTCACTGGGAGCTACATGCCAATAAAGGTAATTGGATTGGATTCACTGGGAGGAGGCAGATGGAAGCATGGCTTGTGCCTTTGGGCAGGATGGGGGATCAGTTGGACACAGACCCCAGACCTGATCTGTGCAGCTGGGGAACAAGTGACTTCCTATTTCTTATTATTTGGTGCCTGTTTTATGGATAATTAAACTGTTTTTTGTACTTGTTTGAGTAAATACCCTTTTGAAAAGATCTTTGCAAGAAAAGTGTTTTCTTGCCTTTTGAAATCCGCATTTTTTGTTTTCAGATCATCAAGTAGAGTTGATGGGATTTTCCAGAGCAGGTGAAGAATTCCTCTTTGTAAGAGAATCCCTGTGATTAGGACCCTCCTGCCTTAGAAATCTGGAGGAGGGATTCATTAAAGCAGGGAACCTTTACCTGATGCACTCACAAGACATCCTGATACAGAGCACTACAGTCAGGGAGACAGTCCCGATATGGACAAAAGGAGGATCATGTCCAGACAGCAGGAAAGGAAATAAAGGGGTGAGAACTGGCTCCCAGAGCCAAGACACTCCTGTCAAGCATGATGCAAAAGGCTTTCTGCAGGTCTTCATGGGAATCTGCTCATGCTTTAAAAGATTCTTGAAGAGAGCGAGCAAAGGGAGGGGGTGAGAGAGGGTGTGGGCATATGCTTGGTTCCCATCATTTTCCAAAGCTGTATCAGCAGACTGGACTTGTTATTTGTTCATAGTCTGGCCATACAGATGCCCAGATGTTACTGGGGGTAAAAGAACAGAGACACCTCAACTCTAGTAGTAATTATGCTGGTGCTGCAAGAGTTTATACTTGAAAAATCACTAGGGACAGGCATTTTCATGGCCTGGTAGTCAGGTATTAAGAAACCTGGGTGCTCTGCAGCTGCCCTCTGCCACTCACCAGCACCTTGAAATGTAATAGGGTATTGGGGCAATAGGGAAAGTGGGTGGGAGGCTCATGAACCTGCTTCAGGACAAGGCCTGGGAGTTCACTGCTGAGTCCCAAAGACCATCATCTTGGCCTTCTTTCTCATCTCCCTGCAACCCCCACCAATGTTCTGAGGTAGAGTAGGTTTGACTTATCAACAAACAGGGAATCATGAGTCTTGTTCAACGTTATTTACAAGCCCAACAAACTCATGCAAGTAAGAACAGGCCCCTTTCTGTTAGTGTGACCTGCCAACCACAATCAAAGTGAATGTTGCTCGACACTCACCAAGACCTGAGATACAATGTTCGTGTTGCATTTTGCTTAATTTCAGCCTTTGATGCTACCTTGAAACATGAGCAGTAGGTAATATCAGCAGCTAAGGAGCAAGAAGCCCAGGCATAGGTGTAGCTGTCTGCGGACAGGGAAACAGCTGCTGGTTATTAGAACGGAATCGTGTTAGCATTACTTTGAGAAATCTCCAGGGATGGAATGTGCAGAAGTGGTGAAATGAGATCCTTTAATGGTCAGGCAAGTGGTTTAGAAGTGTTTGTGCACCCTTGAGCCCTCCAGGAGCTTCGTTAGGGATTCACAGAAAATAGATCCATGTCCAGGCTGATTGCCTGAATAGTCTCCAGGGAGAAGAAAGTATGCTAATTGAATCACAGGTGTCCATTTTGCCCAGAGAAATGACTGGAGGCTACACTTTCATTAAACCCTTTTCAGAGCAAAATTAACCTAGCTTAGGAAACAAATCTGACTCCTTAGATGTTCCTCTTTTGCCAGTTCATCTGATGTGTGGGGGAGGGGTCTTGCACATAGGAATCGCTGCTGGTCAGGAGTGATGGGAATTCACTCACCACGGGGGTCTTCAAGGTCAGGATAGAGTGAGTGCTTAGGAGCTAATTGGTTAACTAACTTTGCATCTTTTCTATTTAAAAATCCTGATTGAATCCTGGAGGCTCAGCAGCATACCAAGGAAGGTGATGAGCAGAGACTGGCAAGCGTGGTACAGAATAAGTGGGAGGAGAGAAGGCGGGTAGTTGTAGCCAGAGTCACAGCACGAGGGGCAAAGGTTGGAGCAGCTTGATGAGAAATTGGCACTTAGAGTGCCAATTAAGTGCCTTTGCTAGCAAGTAGTGAGCTTCACAAGTCACTTCTGAGCCTGGCAGAGCAGTGACAGAGGGGACCTGTGCCCTGGTGCTCACTTAGCTCAGAAGAGACATGGCTGGCACAAAAGAGGGGCATTCTGCCTGCCCCAGCACCTTGGCCAAGGAAGCCCTTGGCATTGAATTCTGCAGTGGCCCCAGTAAAGGCAGAAGAGCAGACAAAGCTTTCCTGAGAATGAAGGCTTCCTTCAACTGTGGGGATCATGAAGAGCTCTAGCTGTACTTTGCCATGCTTCTCTTACCAGGTGGAGGAACGGTCCCTTCTCCCCAGTTCAGCAGCTTCATGGCAATGAGAGGGCAATCATGGATCTCTTTGAAAAGGACCCCTAGAGCAGCTTTAGTGACCATCACCAAATACTGAGTCAACTGTTCACCTAGACTGAAAACTGGGCACGTTACCTAAACATGATGCTCAGCATTGGGTGCAATGTCTTCAAAGAGGCTCAGATTTCACAAAACTGTAGTTTCAGGTTCCAAATCACAAGTCTTATGGAAGCAGTTAGATGCTGTGAGGAGGGGAAAGGTTTCAGAATTGGCCAGCCAAGGGTAGAATCAAGATGCTGAGTTGCTTCTCCAGCAATTTGCACTTGAGTTCAGAGATAAGACAGGACTGGGTTGTTGGAGAACAGGGAAGAGTGGGTGGTTGTGAAGAAACATATTTTTTCTTTAGAGATTTGAAATGAGCAAAACCTTTGCTCTGAGTTTTAAAAGTTTTTTCCCCTTTCTCTGGGCAGAGAACAGGTAGGAATGGGGGAAGTCTGTTCAGTTGCTTTCCAGACTTACCTCAGTCCACCTTCATACACATGCTAATAAGTCTAGACAATGGGATGGTCACTCCCCCCTTCCAAGCAGGGAACATAGAGGAATTAAGGCTAGAAAGTCTTCAGGAAGAAATTTCTGGAGATATCAGGAAAAGCTTCCTTGACCTGGCCTGACCGGGTCACTGGGACAGGAAAGGAGAGGTGATAAAACTTAGGGGAGCAAGGAGGAAGCTCTCTTTTTCTTTGAGTCCAGGAGAGCAAACAGAACTCTCAAATGAGGAGGCAGCCATTGACCATGTGCTTGCCTAAAGAGCTGAAGAAAGCTGCAAGGTAATGGTCATTGTGTAGAGATCTGTAACTTCATAAGCTAAAGAGCCTGTCCTATATATTGATATCTGATAGGGCATGTATAGAGAGAGGGACAGAGGAATTGTGGTTTTCCCGTTTCTTTTGAATCCCTTGCTCAGTCTGGTGCTGTGCTAAAAGTATGCTTGTGAACATTTTCTTAATAAATATTTTATAACTTTTGATGCTGGTAGTGGTTCTCCACTGTCTTGGACACACTATTTTAAAAAGGAGCGTTGGGGGAAGGCAGGCAGTTGGCAAGTAGCTATTCCTCCAGGGGCCCACAAGGCAGTAAACTGTCCCCGTGGTGACCAGACACTGAGCAGTGGGAGACACAGAGGCAAGGCCTCAGAACCTGGAAGGGGAGCTGGGAGTCCTGACCCTCCCAGTGGGCAATTCCATACAAAGGTCAGGTAGTGATGGCAGGTTTCCAGAGAGAGTGAGAGGTGTTGAGAAAAACCTAGGCGGGCAGGGTGGAACAGGGCCCACAGGCCAGAGCAGGCCCATTCTGCCATAGTGGTAATTCCTCCAAAGCAGGGCAGAGAAGGAGATGGAACTGCTCAAGTTCAGGAACTCCCCCCTCCCCGGACATTCAGCCTTGAGGATAGGAATTCTGTCGTACTATCATTCTGCCCTGCCAGGCTTATCCATTGCCTGGATAGTCCTTCATTTGCCACCCTCTACAACTTTGAACCTGATCAGATTATTGCCTGCCTTTGCATTCAGAGTACGAGAGGTCAAAGATGGCAGTCATGTATCTCTCTGAAAAGGACTACTAGAGCAGCTTTAATGACCAGTACCTAATACTGAAACTACAGAGTGTCATTTCTCCAAAAGGCAAAGACCTTTGTTCACTTAAGCAATGAGCCTGGCAAGGCTGCTGAGCTGGCATGGCTGGTGGTGATGATGGCAGACGTCTGCTCTGGGAACAGCACAGCTTCTATGGCTGTTGAGATGCACCTCTGTGGACTGCCCTTCCTCTTAAAAAGGAGGCTTGAACCAGTGAAGGGACTGGCGAGCAGCAAACCGATGGCCGTAGCATAGGAAAGTGGGAAGTGTGCACACATATACAGTTCCAACAGCCACTGTGAGGAGTGGAAAGGCAAGTGAAAGCTCCCTCTGGGTGATTATTCTGGCCTGCCCTGTCCTACGTCTCAGATATAGTTACAAGGAAATCCCATTGAAGACAAGAGAGGAAGGAAGTGTTTCATTCACCAGTCTGGGATTGATCCTGTACTATTCATTAGCTAAATCAGTCTCCAATTGACAGAGGGAGAGCTGCACTGCTAATCCATGTTGCCAGGCTCAAACAAATATCACCCTATTAAATTTTAACATTCCCAAAGTAATTAAAATATTAATTCAGTTATTTCAGTTTAATTACGCCATTAGAAGCACTTCCTCTCTCTGGGGTTACTGTGCAAAGCAATGTCAGGCCTCCAGGGGTAGAGTGGCTTCCTTCAGACTCCAAAGAGAACTTTATAGA